AATACCTTAAGTTTTTGAAAAATATTCAGCCAGAATAGAATGATCAAACACAAGGATAAACGCATATAGACATGCTTTTTACTTTATTAACAGACTATGATAATTGCTACAATCCATTACCTTTTCTGAAGGGAAAGCGCCCCTGTATGCTCTTTTGTTTTTCACAACAGCCGCCCATCAAGCATTCCTTTTTAGTAAAATCGCATAGTAATTAGTTAAGCGTGAGTGTTCGATGTTTTTAAGTCTTAACCGTATCGATGCCCCTTTAAAAGCATGGACCTACATGGAGGCATGTATGGAAAACATTCTTTAATTGGAAACGAATGCATCCATTTTTTGTTATCCTAACGTTATCAATAATAAAAATATTTTATTCATAAGTAAAGAATTTTTATGGCTTTATCAACTACTCGATTATTATTTTAAAAGGGTAACTATGAAACATTTTACTCCTTACACATATTTCTTACTATTATTATAAATGCGAAAGTTTAAGGATGTTAGAGTTTGTAGCCTAAACGGCTAAACGGATCTTGATGAAATTTGGCATAGATATAGAGGATAGTTTACGTAAGAGCTCATAGTCTACTTGCTTTTGTTTTTTAATTCCACGCGGGCAGAGTCGCGGGCGATAGCTAGTTATGTTATAAATGCGAAAGTTTGAATAAATGTTTGATGATGGAAAACCTCTCGAAGAATCTCGATAGAATTTGGGACAAATACCTATAAAACCTAGAGAGGATGACTAACTCTAACAATCTTTATTTATAGGCCTCCCTAAATGCAAAATTGTGCATTAATATTTGAACATTACTAAGGGACACTTTAAATGCTGCTTAAAAGGACCCTACATTTAAGAGATCGCTAATTAAGAGCATTTAAAACTAAATGGACACAAAGGGACTTAATGAGTACGCGATTTCGACAAGTTTAGACAATTGTTAAAATATCTCAAGTTTATTAGTTTTTTTATTAAAAAATTGTTTTCAGTATTTAAAACATGCGTTTTATTAAAAAAAAAACTATAATTTGAACCGTTTTTACATATTCACTAGGTAAAACTATTAAAATGCAATAAAGTGTACATGCGATCTCGGCCATTTTCCGGTGTGTGACTAGTTGTGCATCAACGATTCAGCAATGCTTCTAAGAAAACAGATAAATGGATAATGTATTCAATTAGTTCCACGTAGATACGTTAATTGAAGAGATAAAATCATCTCTGAACATGAAATTTATAATAAAAACAATCTCTAAAATCTTTTAAAGCAGAGTTAAAATAAACACAGTATTTTAAATTTAATTTTTAGAGTATTCTTAACTAGCTTACGACTTCATCCTCATAAAAAAAATCAATAAATGAAGCCTATGTTAATGATCTTCTTCTTAAAGTGCCTCTCCGACTAGCGAAGGTTGGCGGTCAGTTCTCCAAATTTGACCTTGTCTCTTGCGAGGCGAAACAGTTGGGCGGCACTCGCAATTCCTGTCCACTCTCGGATGTTGCGTAACCACGTTTTCTTACGTTACATGTTAATGATAACGTAGCTTTTAATGGATGAAAGAATTCTTGATTTTCATGACCCGATATAAATGAACATAACTACCAAGTACCAAAAATACAATAGATATCTCACTAATTAAGAAAAATCCACAATTCTCAAAAAAAATCCCTTTTGTATGTTAACTTTAAAAGTTCGTATATTATCTGTGAGTAGTTCAGTTCAGATTCTTGTTTATAGCACATTAGCTTTTGCCCGCGACTCCATCCGCGTGGAATAAAAAAAATACCGAGTAGTCTATGTGTTCTTCCAGACTATGCTCTACGTCTATACCAAATTTGATTGAAATTTGTTCATCCGTTTAGTCTACAAACTCTAACAAACATCCATCTATCCATCTAAACTTTCGCATTTATAATATTACGAATAGTATGATTGGCGGATTGTGCCGGTGTCGTGTGTTGGTTTTATTCTTGTTTTATTCTGTTAGTCGTTCCTAGAACAAGAATGCTGGTTGTCAAGTTTCTTCATTTGCCAATTATGTGTTTAATTGTGTTAAATTATTTAACTAATAGGCACACTTAATAGTACGTGCTGAGAATAAATAATTAATGTTATACCAAAGATCGATAAATAAAAATAATAAACAGACGATGTGCAGCTAATAAGAATTGAAAAAGTAAACATCGATTGCATAAAATCGTTATCGTGTAATGGCGGACTAAGATGGCGACTTCTCTATCTCACTTTAACATATACAAAGCACGTATTAAGAACGAGATGACAATATTAATACAGATAAGGAAATGTGTTTTTATTGTTTTCAACGCAGTTATTCAGTTTAAAGTAACAACTTTTTTATCGCGTTAATTGTAAATGAATAGACTGGCATTGCCATATTTTGCTTAATTGTTTTATTGTTCAGAAATTGAAACAGGTAGGTATTTTATCAGAATAAAAGAACATTTTCCCACATGTTGTTTTAATTGGAAAATCGAACTCCAGTTAAAGTCAAACGTAAACGCTATATTTTTCTATTTTCACTGTTGTCGAGGGAGATATTTATTTTTGCTTACATATTTTAACACTTATCAATTTTTTACAAATTTACGCAAGAAGTTATCTGTTACAAAGGCTTTCTATAGATAACTTAAAATGTTAACTATCTAGCACTGTGGCCTAATATTAGTCCTTACCCCTTTCCACCCTTTTCTTAAGAGGAAAAGATGGGAAGGAAAACTGGATTTGACGGTGGAGGAGACGCATAGCAAGGGTAAATGTCCTCTGTATGTGCGTCTCTTCCTCCGTCAATTAAGGGTAGGCAACGCATCTGTAATTGCGGATGTTTATGAGCAGCGGTCGTTTTCCATTTTCGTGGATTCAGGTGGCCGCTTGCTCGTTTGTTACCTTATATTATGAAAAAGCACATATTTTACAGTTAATATTTATGACTAAACGGAGAACAGAATTAAATAGTTAGGTTTTAAGCTTATAGTAGTTCGTAAAGTATGTATTTTCTAATTTAAATCTAGTTTAAATCACGCAGCGGTAATATACAAATTAAACCAACATATTACAGTGGCATTCAAAACATTGAATGCACAAAATAATCTATCCAATACAAGAGATTACAATAATCCAATTAAATGGAGACATTGACAACTAAATCCT